GGAGACGGTGGAGCCATCGGCAAAATTTTCGACGCGTACGAGCGGGAACTGCACGACCAGCGGCTTATAGCCTTGATATTCTGCGGTCTCTATCTTGTGATTGTCGTCGTTGGGATTCTGGTACTACTTCGACACACGATATGGCCACGACCTGAACCGTCTGATCAGCAGGAGACCATGCAGGAAAAGCTACTGAATCCTCCTGTAATTCGCCGCCGCCAGGATGAGCAGGAGAGTTATTTCGAACTTGAAGATGTTCCCCTGCATCCAGGACACGCAAACACTTTCAGTCAAAAACCTACGCACAACGTTGAATTTTTGACATCCGCCAAGAACAAGATGGCACAATTCAAGTCTTCGATGATGGGGAGCCGAACACTGATGGCTGCACGTCCACACCCAACAGCAGTCTCGTTGAGAGCGGCCGACCCCTTCGCATCGGAGTTGGATGGAAAGATGCAAGGACCGATAGATACAGTTCGGTAATGTTATATGTTGTAGAGCTACATGATGCTGCAAGATACCTAGTGCTACACTGCCTTCCATACAATCCGTGGTGAATTAGGTATTCAAGCCAAATCCTACGTAGCTGAGCGAAGATGCAAACATTCAATAAATGAGGTAAGATCGTCCTTCTTGACCTCCACAATACTGGTATCAAAACGATCATGACGCGCCGCAGCTCCTGATTCCTCTGCTGCTGTCTGAAATGCCAAACCGAAACGACTGCAAAAGAAGCAGAAACTGAGCATCGAAATACGCCCGTTGTGTGCACAACGTTTGACTTACTTCTTCCTCACATCCCCAAATTCCGGCGCTCCTGTGAACCCAACAATCAAATATGTCCCCTTTTCCTCATTCAGACAGGCGACGACCATGGGGTGCACAGGTACCTTCTTCTTGGCTTCCGCTGTTTTGGTAATCTTGTCTCGAGTAGCGTCCATCAGCCAGATGGCCAAGCGCGACAATGTGCTGGGATTTGAGAAAATTCTTAAATCCGGTCCTTCTCGCATAGCCACGAATCGGAATGTGCGGAGCGGTTTGATGGCATTCTTATCCAAAACGAACGTTCCTTGACGGATTATAGCCACATGAAGTGCTTTGGCGAGTCCTAGCGACTTTCTGAGAAAGCTGACTCTGTAGTTCCATCTGATATCAGTAAACGACGAGTTTCGCACAAGGGTAAACACGTACTCTTGTAGTGCATCATAGCATATCCAGAAATTTCGCTCCGACTGTCTCTGTTCCAGCTTGTCATTCTTGTCCATGTCGTCGGCTGCATTCTGGGTGCCATTTCGACCGACATCTGTTGACTTGGCTGCTCCACGCGTGCCACTGTTGACTCCCGTGCTCCATATTTTGGATCCACCGAACCATTCACCACCACCTTTACCGCCTTCTGTCTCGACCTCGATTCTTACGCCGGTTGCAGCTTCCAGCAGAGCATTCAAGCCCTCGACGGCATCTGCAGCCGATAGCTGTGGACATCGATATCCAAACGCACGCATGAATGATGGGTATGTTGATTCCACCAAGCCATATTCGGGTGCAATAGCTTCCAGTTGATCGCGAAGTGTCGTTTTCAATGAGATATCCATGTGGGTATATGATTGTTGGCACTGTCGAAGCGAATAACTGTAACAGGGATATGCATGCGCGATCAGAGGGAGGCGTATGCAGCGCTTATCGACACGGCTTACCCCATCTTTGCCAATAGACCTGTAAGCTGTTTTCTCCCCTTGTCTCGCCAGACACCCAACCTTCCAGCCACATATCCTGAATGCAGCATTGCATCGTAAAGGTTCCAATGTCGAAACAAGACAAACCGAAGTTCCTCGGACTGCGATATTGTCATATTATCAGGATCTCCGGTTGTTAATAAGCCCGATCCATTCGCCGATGGTGCATTGAGACGTGCAACTTCGTCAATGTACAGAGTGTGTCTGTCGTCGTATTCGTCCCGGTCGATGCGGGAGACCACGTATTGATGCGTCAGACCGAGAATAGCATACCTGAACAGACAGTGATTAGTGATATAACCATACATGCGAACCATGCAGACTCACCATAGCAAATCGTTGTCTCCCCTCTCTAGTTCACTCGCGAGAAGGTAACAGCATTCCGCAACACTCAACCCAAAAGAGGTACCGGCATGATAGTACTTTTGCACTCTTTCTGCGTGCAGTCGCCTAGCCGCTGTGGTGAGCCGTCGTGGCTATGTATCATGGGGTCAGTAAGCTTTCGATGCGGCTGAAATTCATCCCGACGGCCTACCTTGTCCTGATCATCGGACTTTCGTCCCTTCTTTCGTTTGCTCTCCTTGGGTTGTCTATTGCTTTTACGTTTCGAGCTGCGTGGCGGACGTCCTTCTGCCTCGTCCTCTAATTCCGTTGCCGAGCCTTCTTCACCTTCGTCCTCTTCTTCATCTTCATCCTCGTCCGATTCAGAATCAGATTCGGATGACGATTCGTCAGAGCTGTCTTCGGAATCCGGTTCATACTACAAGTCGTTGACATGTTAGCGTAGGATCAGCGCAAACGACAGCCCGGAAGGTACTGACCTCGAGCTTCTCCCAACTCGTCTTTACGTTGTTCAGCCTCGATTCTTCGCCGTCCGTCCATACCCAAATCCGACCATAACGCTCCGCATCTTCCTCTTCTTCATCTGCTCCGTTCAGACGCGAGGTGTTTCTGATAGGTGCACCTACGCCAGCATCTTCACCACGTCCATCGTTTACACTTGCGCCAAATAGGTTGTCCAAGTTGTACGGCCTGTGTGAGTCGATTAGATGGATGTGGCAACCTGATTCGAGTGGAAAGTAGCCTGCTATCGGTAGCAACGATCCGAGTGACAGCAGAATCAATGTATGCACCTAGAATGTTGGAGACAGCATCAGCTTGCGGCAACCAGCCTGATAGCTACCGGAATGACGCACCTCGCAGTCTCGCGAAACCACTTGATCATCTTCATCTGCATCGGGATCGATTCCAAAGATTTGATTCTTTCTAGCTTCCAGCTCCGAGTATCCACCGATAGGGATCAAGGTATATGGAATATCTTCCTGCCGTAGCAAGCTGACGAGAATCCGCGAAGCAAGTAGAGCATCCTACGCAGACAAGCTGTTAGCCCTGTCAGAAACGAAGCACAAGCTGGCACTTACGAGATCAATCGCCGCGAATATCACCAATCCTCCAGCACTTCTATTAGGGTTCATTCGCACTCGCTTGATGATTGTATGCCATGCTTGGAGATAGGTCAAGGTGCTCGATGGAAGATCGCTGGCGGGAGGCACGATCAGAGGCATTGCTCCGGCTACTTCGAACTAGGTTGTGCGGACTACGGCGCTGTCGTGGAGCGTGTCATGGGCTGAATCAATGGAGGTTGGAACGTGGTGTCGACGAGGTTGTATGGAGATGGGATGATAGATGAGGATTATCAATGAACATTGTTGCAAATGTTGAAGTAGCTGAATGAACTCTCTTTGTGAAATCGACATTAACTCTCGAGACTCTCGACGCGTTATGCAATTCACATGAAAGCAGACGCGTCTGAGTGAGTGAGTGGGACACTCCTTCCGTTCTTCCTTACATGCCATTACAAGCTCTCTGATCTTCACTTCACAAGCCCTTCATATTCCATCTCTTCTTCTTCTCCGCAAACCCTTAATCCTTCCTTCTTGCTTGATGTGTCTGGACTTGTTCTCATAGTATTTCCTTCGAAGGGGTTTTTACATTCCTTGTTCATTTCGACACGAGACCGTTCCACCAAATTCTCTCTCGTTCAATCCAGGCATCCTCCAAACGCATAAGCTCAGCCTCTAACCTACTCTGCATCCAAGCGGTTAACGACACAACGTGTCCGACGTATTGACTCAAGTATCACTCCTGGAAGCCCAACAACGAACATGCTGCAGTATGAGAATGTCGTATCAATCAAAAATGCAAGGAGGAAAGAGATGTCAAGCGACTCACGACAAAGCCCGAACGAAACCCCACAAGCGTCGGTACGTCGTGCTCGCCTACTTGCCTCCCTTGTCGGCAGCGTCACCGTAGTACTGGGTGGTAGATCCGCTGGGGGAATCGTACTTGGCGTAGCCGTCACCTGTGTGCAAGGCATAATCAGCTCATATCTCTCATTTGCGCTGACTGAAAGTGCGAGGATACTTGCCAGAGTTATAGTAGGTGGAACCGTTAGGGTTGCTGTAGTAGTAACTCCCGTTGCTGCAAGCAGTGAATATGTCAATCATGTAACACCGCTGAGTACGGTGTTATCCATGCTTACTTGTTCGAGTAGTGGTAACCGTCACCAGAGGGGTAAGATCGGCTGTCGTAGTTGTTGCCTGTGAATGACACAAGGATGCATATTCAGTATTGATGGATGTGAAGGCCGGCGTTTACAAAACCTTATTCACCTTGATCGTTGGTTCCTCGAGAAGTGGTCTCCCATCCTTTGCCAGACATGATGAAGATGATTTCGTGTAGTTTTGCTGGTGAAACCGGGTTGATTGAACAGCGATTTCAAAGTGGAAGAGAACGAGAAACGAGTTTGAAGGCAGGGACGAGTGCAGACAAGGGCAAGGAATCAAAAGTTGAGAAGAGTCTCCTATATACCTGAGCAGCGTCCTTGATTGATGGGCCTAGAATTCTGAAACGCCAAAATCTAAGCTGCAATGACTTGGTTTTGACCGTCAGCTGAAACGCGCGCAGCCGAACAGCCAGTTGTTGCACAAGGCTGGTCGGAGGGTCGGAGGTCGGCGCTGCGAGCTGCACTGCGGCCCTTGCTTTGGGACATTGCTGCCAGCTACTACCTGTTGTCCTGTCCGGTTATCTCTTTATCTCTGTGCAATAAGCAAAACCTGATCTGCAAAGGCCATATAGTCCAGCTGCCATTGCGCGAGCGCGGTGTTGCACATGACGCACAACGATACTCAGAAAGACGCCCAGTGAGTCCAGATGACTCTTGAACGCAAAAAAAAGCAAAAAATGAAGGCAATGAAGGTCTGAGACCAGCGGGAATCGAACCCACGCCAGCTGCTAACTGAATGGAAGGCAGCTATTCTACCATTAAACTATAGTCCCGGTGTTGTAAGAGCAAAAGATGAATGTTACTCAGATTCATGGCCCCCGCATTTCACGGTCCGCTTGGCAGACCTTTGACCCCTTACTACAGCTCCTCCCACAAGCTCCACAGACCCCTATTAGACCTTCGGAACATCCTCTCACAGGTGGCCTACGTCTCTGCGTACGCGAGAGAGCAAATGGAAAGGCAATGTCTTGCGAGACCCTATCATAGAAGGCGAAATACCTTCTGTAACTCAGTCGCATTTCGCCTTGAGGTTTCTCTGCGTCTTTGAGCGACTCCCATCAACGAAAGTGATCCAACATGAGGCGGTGGGGGATCGTGAGCTGGCGAAGCTCACATTCTTGTGACATGCGGGACCCTTTTAGTGTCGTCGTTTCCTTTCTGATTTGCCTTTACGACAGGGCTAAAAAGCTATCATGCGGGGCGAGGGTTCTTATTGTGCGACTGCCACCCAGACCTCGCTCGTTGTTTGACGGTGCCTACGGCCTCGGTATTGAAGATGGTTGTTTCATACACGTTGTTCGTTCCAGGTTGAGCTTGGTCTAGGACCTGCAGAAAGACAGAAACCGAAGAAACCGAGAAACTGACTTAATGAAAGTAGTCACATGACGGTGCGCCCGAGCTAGCCAACGCGTTTCTGAGCGTTCTGAGCGAGCTCTTTGCTAGCGGCCATTTCTGGACATGTTCTTGCTTCAAGGAAGGAGGAGCGGCTCTTCTTTGAGCTCTCCAATTTAGATTGGCGGTTCTTTAGAAAAGAGATCCACTAGAATTGACTTATCAAAGGTCAATGTGGATAATAGGAGGCTGAGGTACCACACCGGCTCGACAACATCCGATCAAGTCTTCACCAAATTGCCGGTAGTACGCGCGACGTTTGCAAAAAGAAAACAGCTCAACTTTGATCTGGTGCCGCCCTTGCCCTATCGCTGCTTTCGTCATATCCGTCCAACCAGCAATCAACTCACTCGTGTATCGATCACAACATGGCGTCTGAAAGTTACAATCTGCCTCACGACAATGTACTGAATGAATCAACATCCAGCGAAACCAATCAAGGCCGGCGAGGCAAGAGAAAGGCCGTAGGTGATGCATCAAACCCGGTAGAAGAGAAGCCAGATATCAAGAAACTTCGGAGCGTGGATCAGCCCGGTCATGGCGTTGTTGATGGCGGGAATATCGTACCGGCTTCTGGCATGGAGAATGTAGAGGACACTGTGAACAAGAGAAGGCAGGCGAACGATTTCGTCAAGACGCTCATGAAAGCTCTCAATATTGCCAAGGATGACACGTGAGTTGCAGAATCCGGACATGCTGATCCACCACAGTGGCTTTAAAACTTGCATCTCTCTTAGTGGTCGTCCCATGTCTTCCGAGTTCAAGCACTTGCCTGATACAGTGAGTGTCTTCCTGTACTGACAGGCGCTTGTAATCACTCACCTGGTATATTCGGTTCACAGCAACTCTTTGCCGATTACTATGAAAGTAAGTTTTGCAAACCTGATATACACTGCAGTTCCTAGCTTATCAACTCTCCCTACAATCCATGAACAGTTATCCGTGCACCCGTGTCCCTCGAAGTCATTCGAAATAGAAACAGCCATTTCGACAAGTTCATTAAACAGTATGACAAGACAAAGGACACGGCAGCAAAGCAGAGCTTGGTCTCGCAACCTTACGAAGGCTATCTGGACTGGAGGGCAGCCGAGCACGATTTTGACATGATATGGCGAAATGCGAAACGATGTGAGGACCTAGCGATCTTGGGCAACATACTATAGAGATTCACGCTAATTTTATTTTCCGCAGACAATCAAAAAGGCGCACTGATATACGAAGATGCGCAGAAGTTGCATGTAAGACTGTTTCTTGATTGCAGTGCCTTGCCTTCACCCTCTTACTTACCCTTCCTTTATCAGAAATTGACCAAGACCTTGAGCGAAGAGTTCGCTAGGAAGCTGTCCGGCGAAGAGGTTCAAAACGATGACGTCCCGCCAGCTATTCCGCCACCTACCATCGCTGTTGCTTCAAAGATCACTGTGACCATACCTAAACTGATCAAGCAAGGAATGAAGGTCATAGAAGCCAGCAAGAGTCTCAAGTAAGCATCCACTTCAAGTTACAAGCGTGCAGTACTGATGCTCGGGGTATTAGGGGGAATCGTTCTGCTACCGAGTTCTTCCATGAACTACCGGACAGAAATGAGTATGCCGATTATTACCTTCTTATCAAAAAGCCGATCAGTCTTGCCGAGATCAGAGTACGTATTCCCTCACTCTCGATTTATCGCCTGCGGCTGAATTAAATCTCTCCGACAGGAAAAAGTGCAGCAGAAGACCTACACCGACATCAGCCAGTGGAAGGAAGATGTCACCCTGATGTGCGACAACGCGATGCAGTACAACATCGAAGGTAGTACAGTGTACGATGATGCCGTAGCCATCAAGGCAAGTCTTTTTTTTCCGTCCCATTCTTACCTACGTCTGACCCGGACCGCGGTACTCCCCAGAATGAACTCCAGAAATTCCTGCAGGCACATCAAGACAACAGTCAACGAGGAACGACGGACCAATTAGGTTCCACCGCGACATCAACGCCAGCTCCTGGACCCTCTGTACCGAAAATCAAGCTGAACATATCTGGGCTGAAGGATGCTCGTGCCTCTTCTCAGGTTTCACGTCCCGCGAAGGAAAGGCCGGAGAAACCTCCTCGTCAAAAGAAACCAGCACTGCCTGAGAAAGTGGTCACGAAAGAGATTGTAGCATCGCTTCTGCAGTACGATGAGACGGAGAAGTCGACATGGGCGGCGACGCTCAACGCGAAACAGACCAAGCAGCTATTGCAGTGGATGAAGGAAGAATCAGATGCAGCAGCAACTGCGAAGCAACCGGAACACGTCGCTTCCGAGGCGAGACCCATAGCAACCGTAAAGCCATCAACACCTGTTCCCTCGGCTGTAGCCAGCACACCCGTAGTCACAGCCGTGCCTCCACCAACTTTGAAGGACACCGCCAGACCACAGGCACCTCCTCCAAGCGCTCGTCCGGATCCATCGCCTACAGGGCAAGTCTCGGAGCAGCCGGCTATATCGAGTTCGATCCCTGCCCCCATGCAACCGGTTGTTACCCTACCTGCACAGACTGTCTCGATTCCATTCGTAAAGGAGAAACCAGCAGCGCTTCCTCCAAAATTTGACATCGCGCAAAGAAAGTCACCAATAGCCAGTGCTGCAGCGCTTCAGACACCGACCGAGAACGGAAGGAGCGACTCGAGCTCGCGTCGCCCGTCATCTCTCTATTCAACATTCTCCATCCCTGCGCCAATACCACGACCAAAGGCCGTCCCGTTGGCTTATGTGCCCAAGAGACCTCCACCCTCGCTGCCTCTTGTGAGGCATTTACAATTTGTCTATGACCTCAAAGCACACCGACCGGATGCCCCCGTTCAAACGGAATGGCAGAACATGCTCCGACTCAGAAATATGCGGGGCATCACCAGTCATATTGTGGCAATCACTGCCGAGACCCGTAATATCGAAATAACCGCTTTTCTGGAAGAAGGGTATTACAACTTGAACCCTCTCGACCTGAACCGGCACGCGGAGCCAATCGGCCACGTCGAAGGAGTACCCATTGCGGAAACACTCAGTTACGCTCCGTTACCTGAGCTTTCTCTTCAGTGTAATGGCAAGACACCAAAAGGGGAGCTCATCCACCCTGGAGGCGATGTTACGAAAAGGCCAGTTGCGCACAAGTGGTCGTTTTCTGTGGATCCCAACATTGCGAACTTTGTCGTTGAAATATACGCGCACCGACCGGCAGAAAAGGTAGACGGCGGTCGTAAAGAAGTAAAGGAGACGTGCATGATCTTCGTCAACCGCCAGTAATACGGTTGTTGATATAATACTCACCGCGCAGTATATGTTGTATTTAAGGGGAACGTGTGCATTGGATCAATTACGAATCTGCATCAGGGTTGTCGAGGATGCTGATAATGGGATGCTAGAAGAAGAAGCATTGAAGTGTCTGAATAAATGCATGTCGTGAATGCTCATCTGGCTACAGTGGTGGTAAAATAAAGTACTAATTATTGTCGATCTTTCCTCGATTATACGGGGTATGTGCTTGGGATTCGTAATCTTGAATTGTTGACTGTCGGCGAGTTCGACCGAGTGAAGACACAGCGGGGAAGCCGGTTTCCTATTTATTCTAGAAACGACCTCAGGCGCCATCGTCTACTTTAGGCGTCGTGCTCATTAGATTCCGCATAATGGGAAAGACATCGTCATATCATCGTGCTACCAGACGTCCTTATCCTCCTGGTTGGTGAAGCGTCTGTACTGTGTTCCAGTCTCCGCCGCAGTCGACATCAATTCTTCGCCATCACACGTGTTTACCGTTGATCGTTCGCCTTTATTCAGGCTTGCTTTTTGACGGTTGAGTGGTCTAGCGTTCGACGAAATGACAGACCCATGTACTCCGTCTCGAAACTGCCGTCATATTCCCATTTGCTGAATTGCGGTTGTTCGAGGCTTTCGAATCGGTGGCAGTCTTCGGGTCCAGTCGGCTTCGAATATTCGAGTTCCGACTCGTCGTCCTTCTGCTGGAAATCACTCCACCCAAACAACTGTCTGAGAAGCGAAGGGTACATGGGAAGATAGTCGAACCATTCTTGAGAAAGATGTGGCAGTGACCCATCAGAATCCAAACCCAAGTGAGGTGCGGTTGAACGTGGAGGCTTTTCCGACTCCCGTGCGAGCGATTTGAGGTTTCTCTCCCGCTTTCGCCAGGCTGGAGTTGAAAGCTCGGTCGGGTGTTTCTCTGAAGCTGGTTCTGGTGCGATTGCGAAGCTCGTTAATTCCATCGTTGACACCTCTGATTCCAAGAACGGCATCTCTAGCTCCATGAGTGGCGTATGAGACCCTTTAATGGAGATATAGTAATGTGCCTTGGTATTCCATACTTTGAGGTCTCCGATGGGAATGTCAAGGTGCCATTCT